GAAAACTGCAAAAATGATTCCTATCCACAAGTCAGGTAGCTTGCGCTTCGTTAAAAATTACCGCGGGATATCGATTCTCTGTTGCCTTGAATCTTTGATCCACGAAGTCTTACTGTATGCAGCAAAACCGATAATATCAGAATACCAGCGTGCGGCATTCTGCCCATCCCACCGTAATCGCCCAATTTTTGCACTGTTGACGATCAATCACCTCACACTCGTTCGTGAGAAGGTTTCCGTCCAAGTCCTTGCACATATCGGCTTGCGGCACGTAGTCTTTGCGCGAACTATTTAGCTTCCCGTAGAACTTCCGTGTGTCGTTTACGTGGTACACATTTTCCATCACCTCACGATATTGGTCTTCCTGCTGGCGTTTTTCTTTCGGAAAACCGAGTTTTGTCTGTTTGCGCTTGTCTATATCGCTCCACATTCAATCTCGTGCGGTGTTGCAGCATTCTCGCCCCTGCTGCATTCTTCTCCTCTACTAACAGTTTGCATTCGCTGTCAAACCAGTCATTTCTTCGGTCCGGGATTGCAGTACCTAGTGTCGCTGCAGCAGTACTACCTATGGCGGAACGGATGTCCCTCCAGCCATCTTCAAGAGAAGCTGCGCCAAGCTGCTCTTCCGTGGGTAGTGCAACTTCCAGCTGAAAGAACGATGCATACAAAGTCGAGTATGAGAGGACATGAGCGCTTCGTGTTTGCTTTTAGGCTATACAAATTCCGAAGCATGGAGAGAGCAGTGGAGAAAGCACAGGTCTGATAATCGCAACGTTCGTGGTTCGAGTACAGTTGGCAACCTTTTTCCAATTTTTTTTTTCGCATAATTCATTTCACTCACTAATACCCTCCACATTTTTCGGTCTCCAATTTTCTTGCATTTGACTGCAGCTAGGTATATCGCATCCTCTATTCATGCGGTCTCCACTAACATACTCTGATGATGAATCCCACATAATTGTAAGCGAATCTTACATCTACCGGTTGGGTGTGCAACTTGATTGTAACTGAAATAAGTTGCACACAAGCAAACACAATTCTCCAGAGACTGCTAAGGCAGGCTTATTGGTGTTAGTGAAATGTGCAAATTTTTAGTGGTGCTCGTATTTCATTGCAATTTTTATCTTTTTACACGAAACATCTGCTGGCAGTGACGTAAATCTCACTGTTCGCAGTATGGAATGTTATAGTAGAGTGAAGTCGTCATTCGCTTGTTCAGCAATGTTTATAACATTTTTGCTTTTAACACCAGCAAGCTGCCTGTTGGCCCGGACCTTAAATAAATGTCATTGATCTCAATTCACCGACGTATATGCGTTGAAAACTCTGTTCTGTGCTTTGGTACGTAGTATCCTAGAATACGCTGCTCCCATTTGGGCTCCATTCCATACTTCTCAGATGATTCGTATTTAGCGTGTGCAGAAATCTTTCATTCGTTTTGCTCTTCGGAATCTACCATGGAATAAACCTGTTCAGGACATTAAAAAACATCTCGGATTGTTGGTTGTACTAAGTAACGTTCAACCTGCTTGCAAACGGGGTGATCGGGTTTAGAATCGAAAAAAAAAAATCGGCGTGGAAACTAGGTTATTAAAAGGGGAAGCCTGGCTCAAAGCTTCCCCAGGAGACACGGCAATGAGTCTTAAAACCTGAAATCTGATGTCTGTGTTAGGGAATCTGATTTTTTTTTGTTGTGCGCTTTGAAGTAACTATTCCATAATGGTTGAGTTTGCAATAATTTCTACTTGTCGAAACAATTTCAGGCCAATCTGAAGGTTGGGGTTAGAGATAGATCGATTTGCCTGTTTTACTTTTGTGTAATAAATCTATTATGTTCAATCACTTCAAAAATTGTCTTGTCATAATCAGGTCAACTTATATTGGGTTCCTGGTCATTGCGGGATTGAGGGAAATGAAAGAGCTGATGCACTAGCAAGACTCGGATCTTCTCATAAGTTCATAGGGCCAGAGCCCTTTTGTGGCTTATTGGCTGCATCTCTTAGAATGAAGCTAAAAGCGTGGGAATCTTCAAAAGTGGAGGAAAACTGGAAGAACACTTCCATTGCTAGGCAGTCGAAGCGATTTATTAATCCAAACATTTCTGTGACCCACAAAATCCTGGAACTTTCTAAGAAAGATCTTAGTATATATGCAGGTCTTATAACAGGTCTTTGTCTGAGCCGTTATCACTTGAAGCTGATTGGAAAACTTCAAGATGATGTATGTCGTATTTCTGCATAAATGCATAAAAAACCTGAAATGCTGCATTTGGAAGTTGAGTGTGTATACAATGGTTGCTATGATGAGTTTTCCCCGTTTACTCTCCAGTTTTCAAAATGACGTAGAGGAGCAGCGTGGCAAAATTTTGCTCGCGCAGCAAAAGGATCCGACGTTCTCACACGCCAAGTTGAAGAAATTTCTGTATGTGGCCAAATCGACCATGACAAACGTTTTAAAAGTGTTCGGGGAGCGTCTGTCGACCGCCAAGAAACCTGGAAGCGGCAGCAATCGTAAACCGGACGTGGCAGCGATGACGAAGAAGGTGGCGGTGAAATATAAGCGAAATTCTAACCTCTCCATCCGGGACGTTGCTGGCAAGATCAATGTCTCCTAAACTACTGTGCAGCGGGCCAAAAAAGGAGCCGGGTCGAAGTTCCCGAAAAAAATATCTCGTCTGGCAGACCATATGCACGTGTGGTCTGAAAAGCGGCATTTTCATTACTACGGGAACCATCAATCAAGAGATTTACGTCCAGGAGTGCCTGGAAACGCAACATAATAGACCTTTGCTGTTCTGGCCGGACCTGGCAAGCTGCCACTATGGGAAAAAGGCAATCGAGTGGTACGATGCGAACAACTTGGTTGTAGTACCCAATGACCACAACCCTCCCAACAGCCCAAAACTCCGCCCTATCGAACGGTATTGGGCCTTGGTCAAACGGAATCTAAAAAAATAAAAAAGTCCAAAACTTATTTTAACCTTAGCTACGTTTTTAAGCTTAAGTTGAATCAGTCTGTACGATACTATCAAAGACGATGAACAAATAGACAAAATTGATAGTAAACAAATAAACTATTCTTTTGAAATTAACAAATATGACCTCAGGATAATCCTGGGTAAGGAAAAAAAGATTTTTCAACAATAATGTTTGATTTAATACAAAAGTGATTAGCGAATTCTCGAATGTACCTCAGTACAAGCGACATTATTAACTACCTTCCGAAAGGAGTTCAATTTAAGTAATTCCAGCTCCAATTCAATGTTCCAAAACCGTAGGACCCAGCTACTGCCAGTGACACTTGAATCAACCTTTTTGCGGTTGACTATTTCCCACTACCTACACACACTGCAGAAGCAGACCCAGATGCATCATCGCCAGACTGGATCACCAACACCAGAGAATGGTGGCAATCCCACCGGGAATGCTCGGTAGCTCTCCGGTAGACCCTCATTTGCTCTAATTACGAAAGCCATTTGTTCGGATTGTTACCGCCAACCGACCAGCAGCAGCAGCAGCCTTTCCGGAACCGGCAGCCGTGGTCTGTGGGCAGTGTGGAAGAGAAATGCCAAACCGACCGTGGAAGGGGTTGCTGAATTGTCACTGACAGTTTATGATATTGAATTAAGTGGGCGGTGCATCCCCGCGGTAGCCACAATGAGCCACCCAATTTGGTGTCCATTAGGGGAAAGTGCAAGATGCATCGGCCAGTCAGATGTCGTTTTCGGATTGCGTGATGAGATGGAAAGTGCTTTATCCCAGGACGACCAACCGACCGACGACGCTTGATTAATAGCGCATACGGTTCTGAAGCATTGAATTTTAATTGGCCTGTCAATTGTGACCGGATTTATCTTCAAAGACGAACAAAACCCTAAGAGATGCAGCGGGAGATGTCCAATAGCCAAGGGAAGTGGTACATTATTCAAAGCTCATAGTGTGATATCAGTCATGTGTCAGTCAAGGCAAACCAAGAGTAGTGTATAATCAAATCTCAGACTGGTAAGAGGCCTATTCAGTCAGTTGGATCATTTCAAGATGAGAAGCCTTGTAACTTGATGATGATGAAGAAAGAAATTTATACACCACATTGGTTTGAATGTATTTTGTGCGATAGAACTCAATGGACCGTTGGTAATAATTCTATATCTGTTCTTGTGGTGGAAAACCTTGGGAAGTGTATTACGGTATTTTTATTAATTATGTATATCAATGATGTGCAAAGAGTTTTACGGATATCAACAAGATTAATATAATCCACAAATGGCCGCTATTGTGGCTTATTTTACATAACAAATCAGCCATGACAACGGCCATTTGTAAATTCTATAAACCTTGTCCTTAAAGGCCGTGCACAAACCACGTATACAATTTAGAAATGGCGAGGGGGATGACGAATATCTGTGGTCAAGATATTTAATCGCTATCAGTGTGAGGATTTTTTATCTTTTTTTCTACACCGTCTTACACAAGTGGGAGCTGGGTATACTCCGGCATACATAACGGTTAACAAAAAAAAATCAGTGACTTTGCAACTAAAGGGGTCTAAAATCTCCTTAAAGTTGATGATAATACTACTAGAAATTAACGTTGTGGTTCCGCAACCATATTCATACCCAAATAACATTGTACGTTTTATTGAGGTTTTAAAGCATTCTACAAGTATAAATCTTGGGTTCTACAGAACCTTAATAAAACCAAAATTGTTACTAGGTTAGTTTCTGGGAATCGTCTAGCACAGATGGTGAAAATTTGAAAGATCAAATAAAACATACTGAAGTTCATGAAAATGTAAAGATTCAGCTCCAGCAACGCCACCTTTCAGGAACATGTGGTTAAGCCCCTTTCATCTGGACAGAAGAAAAATTGACCATAGTGAGCAAGTTTATCATGGTCGTGATATTGAATCAGAGACGAAAATTCCTTCGCTGAGAAAATGACAACATTAATTTATTTAATTGCTAAATACCTTTTTAAAAAACACTATATATATACATGCACCATCACTTAGTCAATTACGTAACAAAATTAATATTTTTTTCACCATCCACCATTGTTTCCAACAACAGAAAAACCCCTATCAAATTATTAGCACTCCTCAATTGATGGATGCGTTTCTCACATTGCTATGCTTCACATGTTAATTTCGAAAATGATATATACATTGTTGACTACAAGTGAAATTTCGCAAAGCCTAGCGTTGTTAATAACATTAATTGTAATCGATTCGTAACATAATTAAAACAAATTATAAATCATTTTTACACGGAATGGAAATATGACCCGAAACATTGCAATGTATACGATACCAATTAAATTTATTTATAGTCTAATTTGGCAGGAGAAGCATGAATTCACGTGCTGCTATTTATATGTTGTTGAGTTAATATTTCTTTTCGCTACTCTGTTTTGTTCTCAATAACGACATAATGATAATGTTGTGTTGTGACTGTTCATTGTGCATTCAGTAAGTAAATCATTATGCGCCAATTATCATCAACCGTTGTTTTCGGCACCACCCACTGCTCCACCGCCAGCTCCACCGCTAGCACCAGCAGCCACGCCTGCTCCAGCCCCCACGCCATGCTGTTTTTGAACCTTCTTCGGTAGCAACATACGCAACGGGTCCTTATGGTAGCGGGCAAACACCTCCCGCTTGAAGATCTCAAAGTACTTCCGGTTGACATTATTTTGCCGTTCACGCCAAGCCGGTCGACTTTTTTTATTCTGTAGACCCCAGTGTACGGTGAAAAGGGGCGTCAGCACCTGAAATTGGTACCCAGCGACGAACATCTCGTAGACCTGTAATTAGAGAAAAAAAAGGTGGAAATTACAATTATGATGGAATTGGTACAGATTCACAAATTTGCATTCACCTAAACACAACTTCATATTACTAAGGATCAATTGGATATGCAACAGCTTCGAGAGAGATACTTGTACTACCGTTCAGTTATAATGCTCAGAAGAGTGCTCATAATGTCTCCAAGTTCAAATACCCATAAAATATGTATCTTTAATAGATTTCCCCATCGAAAATTTCTCCCTTCCAATCATATGGCAGCGTCATACGTCATAACTCCATTTCTCATTCTACTGTTCTCAGAAAAAAAGCTACTTCCTATAACAGTCAACGCAACGTGAGGTTCAATATTGACGCCAAAGATCGAATTCCCGCACATTATTCGACCATAAAATCTAACCTTAACACACTCACATTTCACCGGATTCTTGGCCACGTTACCCAATCCACCAATGCACAGTGGTCCAAAATGGGGATTGTGCAGGAGAGATGCGTTTTGAGTCTGAAATTTATACCTTAGAAAAAAAAAGTCTCCTCTACAAAGTTGTTCCTAACAGTTAAGCCTTCATTTATGCAGGGTTGCTTCGACTCACTTGCTATAAAACAAAATGTTTTTCGGAATTATGAAATTATTGGATGTTAAAATGATATGTTTTACTTGTAAGTTACAACAAGGGGTTGTAAAGTATTACTTTTTCTCATAAACCTCAATAAGTGATTTTATGATTCGTGAGCGTTCACTCAGAATGAGTGCTCACGAATCGTAAAATCGGCAATTGTGACTTTCTGAAAGTAAAATTGACAGGTTTATGAGTTAAACACATTATTTACAATCTCCTAATGTAACTTACAAGAATGTATTATCATGATCTCATAATTCTGAAAAACATTTTTTTATAGCAAGTGAGTGAAAGCAACTAGGTGTATACTAGGGTGGTTCTTATTATCATTGACAAAAATTAAAATATTCAATTTTCGGCAAAGTGGTGGCTCAGCTAATTTCAAGAAAATTTCATAAAGAAAGCCTGAATTGTCTGATTTAGAGCAATTTTCCTCAACTATCTTATTTTAATTTTCTAATTATTTTTTCTTTACATAATTTTTAGAGCTTTTGTAGACGCAATTTTTGCCACGCAGAACTTGTGAATATCTTTTGCCGATCAAGTGTTACTGACATTTTTCTTATGACAGTACGTCCTTTTCAAATATTAATATCTCTGGTTGTGTAAAACATTAAATATATATATATAGTCGGAGACGAGCCAGCCAACGGCTGAAAGTCTCCTTAATAAAGATATAAATAAAATAATTAAATATATCTAGATAGAGCTGAAATTAGGGCGCAACAGCTTTTGTAAACAATGACTTCTCTCGATTATTTCTCGAAAGTCATGGCTGTCCCTGGCAAATCGACATAACCAGCGAGTAAGGGAAGACTTCCCCTACCCGTTGGATAAGTTGGTTTGTGTAGGCCTGCCTTGAATTCCTAGAAATTAACGAGAAAAGTCATTGTTTACAAAGAATGCTACGCCCCAATTCTAGCTCTATCTAGATATGTCTTTGAACAACGCGCTTTCAAACGTATTTTTTTATATGATATAACAAAGTTCTTTAGTTTCAAGTATTTTTTTTGTTCATTAATTTATTTGATAAGGCTCAACCGAATTAACTTTACAGAGCCGAGGATTCTTGTTCACTATGTAATACATCTTAAAACTTTAGTCAAAAGGTACAACACAATAAACATTTTATCTTCCACTATCCAACAAGCCTCCTCAACCAGAACGGGAGCCGTTGCAAGTGGTTTCATTGTATGGCAGATTCGCCAACGGGGGCCAGAGTGCTTCCATTGCAGCAATGGACGCAAAACGTGGTCAGCACTCACACATTAATCACGAAACGGTTGTTTTCCAAAGTCGACGACGCATCGACCGACAAAACTGCTAATGAAGAACAATTAGGAGGACCACACAATGGTTTCTTCCGAGTAAACAAACAATCGCGTGACACACATTGAGAGTGGTCTGCTTCTATCGACAGCCGAGTGCACGCTGTCTAGTAATTTTGCTAAACAAAAACTTTAATTCGGCATCGTAAAGCTACTACGAATGCACCTGGACGAATAAACGAACTTAAAAAAACACACACACTCAATTAGAGATGCGTTTTGTTTTTGACTACCTTACCCGGTAGGAACAACTTGGTAGAAGCCACTTTTTTATTCTAATTGTTCCAATTTCAGACCCTAAATGCATATTTCCTACTTTATTCTCATTCTGTACCACTGTGCAATGGACCAATCTTTGAGCTTGGGAAATTTTTCGCTTCACAGCAATGAAGGGACAGTGTAGGGGGTGTGATTTCAAGAAAATCCAACAAAGCCCAATCATAAATTTGCTGCTTTAATGATTCTGCGTGGCATCCCCTGTTGGTCCAGTGGCCATGTGTGTAAACATGGCGAGGGAGCAAAGTGTACAATAAATGTAACGGCCGAGAGTGCACAAACAGAGATAAACCTGGTTGAAGGCGTGGGAGAGTGACTCGGATATTTATATTTTTAGCGTTTATTGTTGGGGGAGGGATGGAACTCGGTCAAAGAACAACTTCACTCAGAATACAACTGGTCGTTAATGTCGTTGAAGGAAGTGGGAAGTGACAATTGAATTAAATATAATATAATGGAGCAACGACCAGTTGGTTTTCTTTAACGTCATTTAATAGACATGGACAGGGTAAAAACTGGACAGCTATGGGAACGCAATATTACAACGATGAGATGCTCCATTAATCTTTTAAAAAACTCCTTTACTGCAGAGCTTCTCAAATTAACCTTGTTTTTTTTTGTCAAGAAGCAGAGTGACGGGCAATCATATTTTAGAATTTTCCCTTAAAATATTATTTTAAAAGCTTGTCCTAAATGCTTGCCCATCACTCTACTCCTCTGCTCTAGTAAGGGAACATCTTTCCTAGATTAATGGAGCATATCATCTGTTATATCATACGAAAAAAAACGTATATGACTAGACACTATGACTAGACGTATCTTTTTTTTTCCTTCATTTTTGTTTTCCGTCGATCTAGTTTTCTGTGCTGAGCACCAATGCTACCGACACCAGGGAGGCAGCTCCCACACCTGGACTCTACATATCGATCCATCAACGCATGAACCGGGGTTCAACGGCTTTACTTCCCTTATGTTATGCCTCAGAACAAACTCGGCGGCTCCGACTGGGATTGAACCCAGGCCTGCTGGGGTGGGAGGTAATCACGCATACCACTACACCACCGGGGCCGCTGAAATACATATCTGTTATAGTTCTTTTTTTTTTAATTGATAGTGAAAGTAAATAGTGAAAGTTAATAGAAAAAGTGAAAGTGATACATTAGTAGTTTAGAATTAAAAGGAAAAACTTCGTAATGAGGTATACAATTATTCTACTAAGACGCTCATCAATCTATTTACATTACGAAAACCATACTTCCATAAGAAGTGTCTTCACACATATAAAAATAAACTACACTTAGCAAACTTGTCCTCAACGTTCTCGGTCAATGTTTTCGGTTGGTGAACGATTTTTTACAATTTCCATTTAATATTAAAATGCAATTGACCATGTTGATATAAACGACTAGTGTGGGACTAAAGACTAAACTCAAAAAAAGTTAGACACCCAAGAATGGTCCCAAAAACTCATTAGTCAGATTTTCTTCAAACTTTCAGGGAATTAAGTACAACGTTATGGTTAGGTTTCTATTTCATTGCTTTGTTGGATCTCCACTTTATAACCGAATGCCTTAGCGGTGCCGGTGGTGTAGTGGTAAGCGTGATTACCTCTCACCCCAGCAGGCCTGGGTTCAATCCCAGTCGGCACCGCCGGGATGTTCTGAGGCATAACATCTCTGATCAAGGGAAGTAAAGCCGTTAGTCCCCGGTTCATGAGTTGATGAGTCGATAGGTGGTAGGGTCAAGGTGTAGGAGCTGCCTCCCTGGCGTCGGTAGCATTGGTGCTCAGCACGGAAAACAAGATCGACTGAAAACAAATCAAAAGGAAAAAAAAAAACGAATGCCCGCACCTCCCCTGATACCACTCATAAGGTTTTGGGTAATGGTGGGGCCGACTTCTTTTGATACTTCTACCAACTGTTTCTTGAACGCCAGCTCGTTCTCCACCCAGACAACCAGAATGAAGTACAGTGTCTCTCAAAATTGATCGTACAGCAGTTCTTAAATTTTAGAAAAATGGCTCTAAAAGTACAAGTTAAAAATATACGTCTCTGAATTTTTGACAGCTATCTCAGCATACATTTATCAATTATTGGCTCAGTATTGGGCATATTTGGTTGAGTTTACAAAAAGTTAGAGCAATTTAAAGAAACGCATTTTTCTTGAAAAACCTTTTATTCTTGAAATAAAATAAACAAAATGTTTTGAAATTTCTCTCAGTTTTCGTCATAATAAAAATCATTCATCTGCCACTTATTTTACTTAAATTCGTCAACTAGGTAAAAAGTTGACAATTGAGCGTTTTACTGAAATTAATCTAACTTCATACAGGCTCCTCCAATAAAGACAAAAATTATAGCAATAAATCAATAAACATCTGTTCAATCACCAGACACGATTTTTAAAAATACCTCTTTTCCCCATGATTAAAAAACAATTCCTCTAGAGTGTACGATCAATTTTGAGATACACTGTATATTCAAAATTGTTTCAGTGATATACAAACATATATACATACAAACAATTCGTATAGAATGCAAAAAGACTGCTTTTACGTATACTTTTGTATAGCCTGTAGAAAACGGAGAATCGCATGTTATGTTCATAATACCATCATGTAAAACATGATGTTATAGAGCTCTATGAAGCTAAAATTTGAAAACGCAAAAATCCGGAACGGAAATCTTGTTGGGGTTTAAAAATACGTTTTATTTTGCCTAGTTCAATGTAATATCTATACTACACTGGCCCACATTTATATGGGGGAAATTTTTT